GTTTTGCTGGGAAGTGGGTAAAAGGGAACCTGTTTGTGTCTCTTAACCAGCCCTAGCCTAGGCAGTAGTTAGTGATGAACAGTAATAGCCAAAATTCTACTCAGTATCTGAATTTCTGATCAGTGCTCACTAAACAAGAATGGCTTAATCTTTTTGTGGGAAATTTAATATTACAAATAGGCAGCTGTAACTGCATGGACATTTTAAATGTAGAGGCTGTGAATGGAAAGCAATCAATCCTGGCTTCAACACAAATAAGATCTCCAACTGTGTTATATAGATTGTTCTCTGTACCCATCTACGTATAGGTGATGGTGTTGCACAATCTATGACCTTGAACAGTCCTATATTACTATAGTCTCCTTGCAGAACTAGCCTTCTGCAGGAGTAGTTTGACTTTGAGTCTGGACATCAGGGAAAGATGCACTTGGTTACATTTCCTGGGTTGAATTAGAAATGTTACATGGCTTATGTTACTGATTGCAACCAACCAGCACAGCCTAGCTACCAAACATGGACCATTTGCAAATTATATGCAAACAACTTAAAAGAGTTAAACACATTAATTTAGCATATTCCATTAGTACACAGGAGAAAATTGTGTTTTCACAAACATTTTACAACCCACTAGAGGCTAGGTTTCTTCACTAAATTCTTCCTTGCAAATTCTCACCAAAATTTCACAGTTATCCCCATTAGATACTGTTCTGAGAGAGAATGAGTGCACGTTCCACAACCAGCAGTTTCTCTTCTCCTCTCTCCCCTAAAGCTCCCATTTTATTAGCCAGCTTGAGATACATTAGCAAGGAGGATAAAAGCTTTGCATCCTTATAGCAGCTTCATTACAGTTTCATTTGGAAACTTGACATCTTTGTCTCTATTAGCTAAGTAGTCAGTACAACTTTCATAGGAGAAGGAACTGTATCAGCATATAACCTTACTCATTTGTACCATCTCCTGTGAAAGCTATCTTCATCACATGAGTCCTTTCAGCATTCCCATAGAGAAGCCCTGAAAAGCAGAACTGTTTATGTATTCATAAAGCTGAAGGACTGAAGTGAACAGGGCATAATAAGAAGTCCAGTAGCACATTAGTAACTTTGGAAGTTAAGTTTCATTAAGCCTGTGAACATCTAACACTTTTGGATATGAAGCAATACATGTGAATATGAAGTAATAAATATATAGGAAAAAATACAACTGGAACTTTTCAAATGCTCATCACTCATTTTCTTCAAAATTCTACTTACGCACAATTTGTTTATATATCCACTGCAACAAACTAGTCTGGGTCTCTGTTTCTTTAATCTAGGACCATGCCAAGAGAAGTGTTCCACAGTGGGAATATTTACACAACTATTATCACCAATTCTATGCCCTAATTAAAGTGTAGGAGTGGAAAAAAAAATCCCCTATTTTTAAAATATTTTTTTTAATTCTACAGATTATTCTTAGAAATTCTGAAGGAGTTACCTACTAAGACCCTTCCAGAATTTCCTGGCCCAAAAATGGATAATTCATTTTTAGTTGGGTTAACTATGATTATTCAGTGCTTTAAAAAAAAGGGAATTAAATATATAGATGAAATCCTACAACAACAGCATACAAGACTTTTCTCTTAAGCCACAATATGTATTTTATCTTGATTACATAAAAAATTAGTTAAAACTGAGTATGAAAAGTATCTCAGCTGAGCACTTTACAAAGATGAAACTATAATTTATGAACTATACACACACTAATTTTTTTAAAGCCTTTGGAACTGTGCTTCTCTGCCTTCCTATTTTCCAGAAAAGCTTTGCTAGCCACTCTTCCCTTTCTCAGCCTCTAGCTCTATTGTTCCCTCTATTCACCCCTACTTTCCTCTTCCTGATTTTTGAATGGTCCTCACAGTGGGGGGACCATTTCTGAAAAACAGGGCAGAGGTAGCTTCCTACAATCATGCTGGGAAGCCACTGACATCACCAAAATTGTTCATGTGCTTTAAGTTAGGGACATAAGTATTGGGATCTGGCATTCAAGAGAGTCCCATGACGTCTGACAAACAATGCCCTGAGTTTTTAGCAAGAATCTGCATCCTCGTCATTTATGATGCTGTATTACCGTCTCCACATTTCACTTGGCTTTTTCAAGACTGGGCTAGCTAATGCTTTTTTGGTTGTCATTGTTTACTTTCTGGCTTGCATATCAAGGCCATCCTGGTTGTACAGAACACTCCATAAAGAAAAATAGAAATCTATAAAAGATTGTAATCCAGTCCTGTTTTTCTGCAGGCAATGTTTTTAGACTTTGACACCACAACTAATCTCAAAAAATCTGTGTTTGGTTGGCTAAATTGAAACAAGATGCCTTGTATGAATACTTGTAAGTATGGCTCTCTTCAATAGGAATAGCAAATGCTACCTCAAAAAGTTACATATGAAAGTGGATTTTGCCATCCAATTTCAGGTGCTCAGATTGAGAATTTTGGCCCTAATATTTGCCACAGCCTTAGGTTTGGATCCAGTCCACCTGACAGTGCCCATTTAAGCAGAAGCTTCTTCATTCTCTCAATCTGAGATGTTTAGGATGCTTTTCACAAACTACAGTTTCTGAAATTCAGCGCATACACATTTAAGATATAGGGATAAGACAGTGTATGGAACTACTTGGCAGTATTTAAGCTGGTACAGTTTCTTGTTGAAATAATAGAATTCCAAAACACATCACACTGAATGCTTATGGGTTATTACAAGCAAAAAATTCCAAGACACCAGAAATTAAAAAGCAGAGTTCAACAAATGAACATTGATATGGTTGGTTGATATGAAGAACGTTGTGCTAAGTCTTTCTTCTTCGCTTTTTTCAAGTGGAGAAATAAACTGGGAAAGGAAAGAGAAGAAAAAAAAAATACATAAACCAACAGTTACTATAGAATTACTCTTGTGCTTTATCTCACAGAAGCATGTGCTATCAGAGGGTGGCAAATACCTTTAGCACATCTTTGCTGAAAGCACGACATGTCTTGCACTGCCTTCCTAGTTGGAATGGGGATGCTCCTCCTGTGTCAAAAGGAGTTCAGAGGGGGAACTGGAGTGCAAAGCAGGGAGACTGCAGCTCAAAAGATAGAAAGGGCAAGGACTGATGGGGGTGTTAGCTGCCATCCTCAGCTCCAGCAACACCTGCAGTGCCATATGTTGTAATTCTTCCTTCAGCAGGGAGCCAGCCTGCTTTTCAAGGGCCCCACTACTAGGACAGTTGGAAGTCTGGCTTGGGCCATTTCACCACCAACAGTAGCTTGTTGCTGGGAGGAACTACCCAGTTTATATGCATCTATAGCCAGCTGTGCATGGAGGGTTTGATCTTGTTCCCATTCAAATCAGTGACTGGAGAAGCCATGCAGGCCTTGTCTGTGACAGCACTTGGACTCTTGATGTCAACAGAATTTAAACATATACTTGAAAGTCACTGTAAATAAATGAGTCATTGAGTTCAATACACAGGGTCCCTCCTGAAGCTGCAACCTGTAGGCACTATTACAGAAAGATCAAATAGACTGCAAAAATAATTTGAGATCCAGAGCTTAAATATATTTACATCTCACTAAACTTGAACTAGATCTTACTATGATAAGCCATGAGCTGGGTTTGACGATGTGATGCTCAAGTTTGTGATTAAATACCCTAAACACAAGCCAAGCCATGTCAAACCTGCTATTTTTGTTTCTAAACTAACAAGGACAGGCATCCAACATTTATAAGCCAAAGGGAAACAATGTTATGACATATATAATTTCAACCTTCACTTCAAAGGATAAATTATGAGCCATCATGTCTGCTTTTCACTCTGCTGTTAAGATACACATAATGATCCATGATGCATGTATACACAACGATCAGTTCAATGACTGCACCTCTGTCTTCCCAGCTTACTGCACTAGACTGCAGAACAAAGACCCATCTTTCTTTTGAAGCCAGTTGCCTTGAGTACCCAGTTAATAAAGTTAATTAATATCTAGCCATCTCCCATTCTCGCTGTATCAGTGTTACGAAACCCTAGAATTATTCTGGGTCACTCTAGTGCCAGCATTCATAAGACTAATAAACTGCCACATGTATCTCAATCCATTTAGTCATGTTTACAGGTGATTCTGTAGGCTCTTCTTACAGAAGCAACAAAGGAAAATGGAAACATGCTGAATACAAAGCAAGTAATTTGAGAGCTGGGAATTAATTCACATCCAGTTCAGCCTCCTGGGTTTCTAGCTGGATTGTCTAATACAAGAAATCTCCCTTTTAGGAGCTATTGCCATATTACAGTTATGTCACATAACGGCTGTTGCTAGCACAGGGGTTACATAAATAAAATGTTCAGTTCCTGTCATTACAAGATCCCTGGCTCCCAACCAGCACGACTGCTATTATTCATTCATATGCTATCTTTCCTGTAACAAGTCTGTGGAATGATACAGTCTTCTGAGACAAGAAATCAGTAAGACTTTGGGCCATCTTTTAACAGCATTTAGGCATTCAAGATGCAAAGGGACTTTCAGAAACAGCAACATCTCAAACCCCAGCTGATTTGGTGGAAAATAGGCACCTACATGATTTAAAAAATTCAACAGCTGCCCATTTTGTCTCTTTTTATAGGCATGTGAGAATTCAAACATTACTCTTCTCACTAGAAAGCACCAGGACTGTGGCACTAGTTGTAATGAAAAGAAGATATCTGAGACTGCATAAAAATATGTATAAACATGAAAAGAGTGAGTCTTTAATTCTAGGGAAAGTTATGTAACATGCTAATGTAAAATAGATTAAATGTCAACAAATTAGACCTGTAGAAGTGTCCAAAGTGTCTGCAGTAATTCTCACTATAACAGCATGACAGCAGAAGGGGAATTTCAGAAATCAATCAGTTTAAATATTTTATATCCAATTTTTGTTGCATTTTGTTTTTTAATACATCAGCACTTCATAAGTCAGAGAGCTACTGAGATCATAAATGAAAGAGAAAATTAATTACTCACTTATAATTATAATAAGAATGACTATGCATACTACTCCAATGATGATCATCATCTAGAAAAAGAAAGTTATGAGGAGAAAAAAAAACAAAACACAAAAGAGAGAAAGTCAGGTTTTCACATGAAAGACATTAACCTCTCAGGTTTTTTGCTTTTAATCAGTGGCTCATTCCTTGCACTATTAATTCTTGCAAGGACTCACTGCAATAGACTTGCTAAGGCCCCACATTTATTGCCAATTTTAGGAACAGGTAATGACCAGAAATGGACATAGCCTTCTGTCAAAGCTAGCAAGTTCTTGCCCATCAGCTAAGGTGCAGGGACCAACCTCATCCATTTTCAGCAGTAAATAAAAAGTAAAGGTCTGAAGAAAAGTCCAAAGGTGATTTATGTGGTGAAATTGTCCATGTACTACTTTGTATCAGAGTAATTTGATCACTTTTCACCACATTTTCACAGTCACAAAAGAGACAAAAAGTTTCTAATGCCTACCAGTTATTGATGCTGGTTTTGATTTTGGTTTGAAAGTCTAGTGAACCTAACTCTAAATCTGTGTATGTAGATCCCAAAAGCCTTGTTTTTCCTGTACTGTCAGGCAAGGCAACTGGGCAACAGTTGACAAAGGCCCAGAAGAACTGCTCAGTTAAGTTTCTAACCTAGATTCACAACATTGGAGTGTTTGAGAGCGTAGTTTACCCAGAATATTTTGCCTTGCTTTACACTTCATAGCACTGTTGTTCACAAAGAGAAAGCAGGCAACAGAGTGGTAAGAGATACTTGTGGCAATCTCCCTTGAGAGCAGGTGGTTTTATTTGGGTGGACTTGAGTGGTCAGCAGCAAAGATGGTATTGCAGAGAAATGGAAATTAAGCTGAACTTTTGGCATGGTGTTAATGTGTTGGTGATGCATGAGCAGAAAGAAGCAAGGATATGGGGTCTTATATTAATAAGAAGAGCTAAAGTTTCTGGGTCCAGAAAAGATAAATCCTGGAGGAGGTCTGAAACAGCAAAGGAGGGTGAGGTTCCCTCTGCTCATGGGAAAGGATTAGGACAGCAGAGGAGGGAGCTGGTTGATTAAAGTCCTGCTCTATCCTCATCTGCAGCTCCTTAAAAGAGACTGTAATTTGCTTACTTTTCACAGTGGTCTATGGAACCAAGTATTTTTTTTTTAGTTTACTATCCTAAAGAAAGATCAAGAGGCTGATCGTCTCCCACAGAGAAAAAGCTTCTTTTGTCTCACTACTAGTATTCACTACACCTGTTCAGGTTTTGTAGTTCACACAGGGAATTGACATGAATTAACATGGAATGCTCTCCCAACCCTGTTTGAGTGAGGCATCAAAATCTGTATCTACATTTTATATAGTGCAAAAATTACCTAAAGAATAGGTTCTGTTAAGGATCAAATTTTTTTTACGTATTATCCTATAGCCTAGAAAGCAAGGCATCTCTTTCCACACTTGACAAGAAGAGACCACTTAGAGATAGCAAAGTCCCATTAAATACAAGTGAAAGTAATGTCTGCCATGAACTGATTCTTAACAAGAATTTATATCCCTTACCTTGCAATTTTTCCACCAGTATTTTCTCTTCAGTTTGGCTGCACTGGTTTCAAACTGTGAGGCCCCTGCTTGCAATGCATCTGCCCGGTTGTCAAGCTCAGATAGCTTCTGGTCTCTTTCTAGGACCTTGACCACGTTCATTCTGATGATGTCTACCACCTGCAAAGGCACAGCCTCATGTGAGGTTCCACACACAGTAAAGCCAAAGGGCACTCCTATGTTCATACTCTGTAACATCACACATCATGCTAAAACGAGGCATTTTTAATTATTATATGTGATGGCAGTTAATCTGGACAGTGCCTCAGAAACCATGCCTATAGGAACAGACACAGTCAAAACAAGATGAACGTGGTTATACTATGCTCAGATGCCCTTAAAAGTAAAAAATAAAGGGACTTTGTGAAATACCATAATGCGTTTAATTAAAGCTGTTGATATCTTTTAGCCTACAACTAGCTACTTCACTACAGATACCAAAACCAGATGGAAATTAGTGTTTGTACTACAAATTGGTTGACATTTTTCCAGTCATCGCTAAGACCAAGTCATTATTCATTATTTTCCTTATACATTTAAAATAATTTCCTTAGCTGAACTTGAGAAATTGGCTAGCTAAAGTGAACTATATGCATTTCCTGACAAATTAATTTACTCATTCTGCAGATCTTTCTCAGCAAAATGAGTTCCCAGCCATAATTTGAAGTCCTATGTGAAAGTGGAAGACAAAATTTTACCTGCAAAATTCAGCCTCAAGTGTAGCAGGGAGCTCGTGCTGCCTCACTGCAACAGTCTTAGTGAAAAAATGTGCACAGCCAGTACTCAGCAGGTAAGAGTCGTTCATGCATGTATTCTAGACATAAAGTTAGATGACAATGCTCTTCTAGCAAGCCAATAACTCAATAGAAATCCTGTACAAATTTACCAGTAACGCAAATTTTAGACAGTACACCAATGTCAGTAATGACTCACTTATTCTAGGAGTGAGTAAGCATGTTGGTCTGTTATTTCTCATACTTTGTAATAAGGAAGTCCATGTTGTTTGTATTTAATATAATTTATTACCTGCAAAATCCCAGAGTTATTAAAAGAATACATGCTTTAAATACAGTGAGATGAAACTGGTAGGAAAGTCTTTGAAAGGTCTGGCATAGGGTTACATGGTGTTCTAAAACTCAGAAGTTAGTTTCACTTGTCCAGCAAACCTAATCAAATCAAAGTCAAATGTTTTGGTCAACCCAAATTTTCTTACTTTTCCAAACCAAAACCTTCCAAGCATTTTAGTTCATATCAAATAAAAAAAACCCTTTTGTTTTCATTTCTCAGCTAGTATTTAGCTAATTTTTTTCTTAGCATGATGTTTTTCTAGTGAAAATTTTAAATTATTTGAAAACGCTGAAACAAAATACTGTAACATTTCCTACCCATTCTCTCCTTTTTTTTTTTTTCGCCCAGAACTATTTATTGAATTTAACCTCACTGCAGTGAACACTTGTCCACACAAGACTACATTTTTTCTCAAATAAACAGATGTTTGTCTAAAGCTTGTCTAAAGACCAGAGCCATTGATATTAAGTTCTAGGGTGCTTAGAGAAAACAGAGAGGAAAACTCAACATGGATATAGCTGAAATACAATATCAGCATTGATAAATGTTAAAAATGTGAGTCATGTCACTAAGAACAAAAACAAACAAACAAAAAAATCTTAATCAAAAGTCGTGATGGCGTGGCTGAGTTTCAGGCTGAAGTGCGTTGCAGAACAGCACGTGGAGCTGAACAGCCAGAGGAGTCTGGTAGTGTGCTGAGGTGTTTGGTGCCACCTACAGATCTACTTTCCTACAGACATGACATTAAAGAAAAACGGGAAAGGTCTAGCAGGAAGGTCAAAGCAATGTTTAAGGGATCTGACCCTTAGGTGCTATAAACCAGTTTCACCCTAGTAACTTCCAGTACTGAAAGTCCACTGGCGTTTTTGCCCTTTGACTATTCTTATGCTGTGATTTCCATACTATACAAAGATCTGGTGATGATGTGCTGCTATCTGTGGAAAACCCATACCAACCTCAGCCTGCCTCCCAAATTTGAGAGAAAAAATGTGGACCCTGATTATCACCTGCATAATTCTCAAATCTAAGAGCTACTCATGTCCAAGAGCTACTATGTCTCCTCATACTGGGTAAGAGTTCCTACCAAAATTACTACATCAGGCTTCACAAGAAAAGCTTGAATGGGCTTGAATGAAAGTCTCAGAATACAGAGAGTATCTTAAACACAAAGTGAGGGTTCAGTAACCTCACTGTAGCCATTTCCATTGATCTGCTTGAAAAACCTGGTGTATCTGACCTGCATCACTGATTTTAAACAATAACTAACAATTATTTTTAATCTTCTAGGTACAATTACTTTTGCTGTAGCTCACATAAACACAGTACCATCATGATGTAACATGTTCAGGACAGAAATTTTTTTCATTATTCTGACCTAAGACAAAAGCTGAAATTCCTTTCCCCACTGAGACACTCCACTAATATTAATGAAGTTAGTATGATGAGAAAATCAGTGATAATGAAAGAAACAGGCCTAAAAACTTCTGCAGACTTTTCTGCAGCCAGAGGATGTTCTTGTGATTAGCTCCAAGCATTAGCACTGGAGAGGCCAGAAAGACACTCAGATCTTTAGCAAAGAAGTTCTCAAAAAAGACAAAGTCTAACTTGACAGGAGTATTTAATTTATCTTGAAAAACTAATTTTAGTTGCAAGGTCTTCTCTACTATTTTTAAAGCACACCCAGAGCTTTTGAAAATAGAGGCATTTATGCACATAAATAGCTATTTTATAATGTGGGGTTATTTTGCATTGAGAATAAAGAATCACACAAGCCCTGGCCACTTCTCCATGGAGAGCAGGCAAATAGTGACTTCAGTCTTCGTAGGGGCCTAGCAAAACTCTGCTTAATTGCCAGCACACAGATCTGCACAGCAGGTGTACAAAGATGCTATGTATTCCCACTGTCACAGCAACTAGATGGACGCTGGCATTACAGCCAAGGTGGCAGGGTGGTCTGCATGCGACAAGAATTTAAGGATCCATGCTGGAATGGGCATGCAGTCCTCCAAGACCAACAAAAGGAGTTGAAGATGCCTTCCTTGGGGATAAATTGTGATGATTAATCACTAGAGCTCTAGCTAATGAACAAAGCACTCAGCTGTGCATTTCTCACGGCTTGAACCTATTTATGAGAAGCCAGTGGTCTTTTCCTGTGCAGAAGCCTGTGAGATTAAGGTCTAACCTTTAGCAACAGAGGAACATGTTAAAAGAGCTGGTGCCACTATGGCATTTCCTCCTAACCTGACTGCCTGGGATGAATTCCTGAATTGGCACCAATGCTCACATTTATTCCAAATAAATGTTACTGGTACACGGACATTCATACTCAGAATCTCTTTTACTATCTGTCTCCTTATAAATGCAATCCTTTGGTAAACCTCATTTCCTACTACTGCCTTCAGACAAGTACAAGCTGCAGTATCACTAGGGAGGAAAGCTTCTTAAAGAAAAAAAATAATCACATCAGCACCCATGTGGTGAGCAACAAGTCACCTAGAGCCACTTACCTCATCCACCCGGGTTTGTGTCTGCTGCAGCCGTTTGTTGCTTGGCACATTGGTAGCAGAAGGTGGCCCTGCAGCCCCAGCATTGGTGGTGCCTTGGATAGTAGCTGGGGCAGACCTAGATCAAAACCAGAGAACATAAAACATGACTGAAACCATCCTCACTTGTTCACTCCCCCTTTTCTGGAACAAGTACAAAATACATATCTCTTAAAAGGAGTTTTCCCTTGTCTCATAGCCCACATTTTCCATTCCTAGGACACAATAGTGGTTGTCCTATTCCCCTTGCTTTAAAACAAAACACAAAACAAAAGTCCCTTAAAATCCAACAACAGATCCAGTCTTAGTGCATGAGCTTGTGCAGGCAAGTCAGCCTGCCAGCCTCAACAGGGTCTCTCAGTCTAGTCAGTCGTTATTCATACCCACACCTCAACCCGTGAAACCTTTCCTTTCAAGGGACCCCTGGCACTTCTTCCTGCAGAGGCATAAAATCCTTCCTAAAACTGCAGAGGAAATCCCTAAGCATGTGAACTGAAAAATATCACAAATCCCACTCATGCATTACCAATGCCTCTCCACAGTGACAGATAGAGAACACAGTGTTTCTCTGTGAATTATTCTCTTTTACCTCCTAAGGTCTGATTATTGCTGCTGGAATTATGGCCCCATTAATACACTGTTAGAGGGCCTAGGGACACTAAAGATAGTTCACCTTAAGCAGCAAAATCTAGTCTGACAGTATTGCCTATGGGCTGAGATCTCTACAGATAATGCTGACCCTCACAGACTCCAAACAGATGGAGCAGCTGTGCAGACCTAGAGCACTGCTGTATCTTACACTTTTTTTTTTTTTTAACTCCGGGGTGAAAATATCACTATCAATCTTTAGCAAAAAGAAAAGAACTTGAGCCATACACAAATTGCTCATCCTTTGAGGACCTCACAGCCACTACTAAAACCATAAAAGAGCAGATGCTGCTGCCACCTGCAATGGAATTACTCTATGGAAGGGCCACGGGCCAGGATCCCAACAGGATTTGTTCTGAGCTTACACTGTTGTCACAAAGGATCAAAATCTGACTGTAATGTTTCTCAGACTCAAATAACGTAAAACAAGATCTCCCTGGAGCACTAATAACTTCAGAGGGAGTTTCTGCTGCAACCACAGAGCTAAACTCAAAATTGTGACATTTCTTTGCAATCACAGAAGTAAACAGGCTTTTACCCAACCAACAGAAGCAGAATTTTTTCTATGGAAAGATTGCATCACATTGTTCACTACAAATCTAACACAGCTCCTCTCTTAAGCTATGTACTGTTAGCATCTCAGAGACTACAGCAGGGAAGGATGTGGGAAACTGTTTTTCCTGGCCATGTTTTCATGGATAAGCATAGCTTGTAAGTGCAGTGCTGTTCTTGGTCAAAGCTATGTGATAACTGCAAAGTGTAGTGCTCTGCCATATACCTTTTCTGCCCAGTAATTTTAATCTTTCTTTGCCCCTCCCAAGGTGTCCTTTAAATGATCTGGCACAAAGTAGACACTTTGCAGTTTGTTCTCTTTGAGCATACTTGCTGCCTTCTAATTCGATTTCAAGTATATTTCCTGGGGCTTCTCTGCTGCACATTTAAGGGAGGAATGGATGGAAAGAATGTGTGTTTTTACAGCTGCCTTAACCATCCAGCAGAAGTTGCTGTAACTACCAGAGAAATCTGGCAATCTTTATGCTAAGGTACAGCAAGCTTATAATTAACATACTCATCTTAATTCATTACATAAAATCTAATAGAAGAGTAACCAGAGCTGGGTACTGCAGGCAGTGCAGAGCTACTCTTTCCAAACCTTTTGTCTCTGGAGTTGTGCTCTCCTCATGCAGCAGCTGCCTTTCCCAGAGCCTCATGGGTCAAAGCAATAAGCTGCTACAAGCAGACAAGTGTTCACTGGAAGAGGTGCAGCACCCATTGCAGAGGGTACAGCACAACTTCCCAGGCTGGCTTGAGGAAGTCAGTCCTTAAGCATACATTAAAATGCCACCAGCAGCTCTTGCAGGTTAACAAGGCATGAGCCCTCTCCTATCATTAGGCACCACATAACATCCAAAATATACAGAACAAGCACAAAGATACCTGCATCACTGCTCCTGTTCCCAGCCTTGCAAAGCACTTCAGAACAGAGGGGTCTCCATGCTTCTGGCCCAGCCCTACTGGTGTTTGAGCTCTGTAGAAAGCACCCTGAATAAGCAGCAGCAGAAGGCAATATATCTCTGAGCTAATTGTGGCTCCAGTCTCACAAGTCTCACAAGCTCACATTAAGAGTTTGTCTTTGAATCTAAGTTTACTAGTAAAGAAGGCCTACATCACTGGAAAGCACCAATATTCTCTAGCATATCTTAGAGCAAAAATGCTAGAATGAATGTCCAACACACATTTACATAATTCTTCTATTATGCCTTTGTACTGTGTCATATCAGCTTATAATTTCTCAGAAGCACTATTCAAATAAAGTCATGCGAAACATTAACACTGCGTTAGAGAGGCTTTAGTTTGAAATACATGAAACATCACAACTTTAACATCCAATTTCTCATGGCCTGGCATGATTTTCAGGAGATAGAAAGGAATGCAAAATCCATAGAAAAGCTCCATCATTGGAGCCCTAGCCATCAGACTTCTGTACTTAATTTTTTTTAGAAAAAGGAAAAAAATTACCATTGAGGCTGATAACTTTCACTTCAAATAATAGGTTATATTGATTGTGAAGGGGGGAAAAATAGGTCTATTATTGGTGAAAAAGGCTATGAATCGCTAGCAAATAGTCTTAAAAGACAACCACTTTGAGATGTCAGAGCACTGGGATACACTCTGGGAGAGTTATGGGTACACTTACTTCAGGACTCTTTAAGAGTCTCAGCAGTTAGGTTGTTCTTCATATAATATTAGTTACATTCTTGCTCCCCATCACCCCAGATTGTGCCAGTTAGCACATGAGCAGCCTGGCTGATCAAAAGCAAGTGCTGAGTCTGTGTGTATGCACTTAACCTATGAAGAAACATTTGGGGACTGTCCTGGTGATTAAGTGAAATGGTCTCAGCTGACTCAGGCATCCTTAGTTCTTCTGGTTACTTGTTAGGCCTGAAACTGGTAGGCTAAAATCATGACTAAAGATTTCTCATCACATCTGGATATTTTAGAAGCAATTTACTACTTAGCTCTAACCATTTAAGGGAGCTGCAATGCTAATTAAGAGACAACTGGAGATAGCCATTGTCTCTGTGTTCCATTTCAGCACTGACTGAAAGAACATTAAGAATTACTGTTTTGGGAAGCTGCTGGACACATACTTCCATTTTTGTTCAACTGTGTGAAATACATAGGAAAAAAATTTTGTGTTAGCTAGAAATGTGAATGCCAGGAGAATGCCAGGCCACCATTGTGATTTTGGTACAGTTTACCCTAACTAGGACCTTGAAAGCTGCTTTCAGCAACATGTTTTATCCATCCAAGGTGCTTTTAAAGTCCTCCAGCTATGGGATCTAATCCCTTCAAAGTCTTTATCCTAACAGCACTGAAATAAGCTAAGGAAAAGCTATTATCCCTGCATATGGCTGGGAAGCAGGTACAAGGAGATTAAGTGACTTGCTCAGTGGCACAAAGAAGCCTGTGGCAAAGCAGCCCAGGCCTCTTCTACCTTCTGCTCCACTCTTCCACAGCTACTTAATGCAAATTAAAGCTCACAACCTATGCAAGAATTATTTTCTACCTCATGCTTAAATAGCGAGAAACACACAGTTAAAGGTTACAGCAGCAGAAGGGAAGTGAGAATTACATCAGACAGCTTTAGCTAGTATCAGCTGGCAAAGCTCAGAATAGGGGCAGTGAAAGTGCATCAATGCAGCAGAAGATTCAACTAATTATCCCTATTTAAAAAAATGAAATAAAGGAGGCAATTTTCTATGAATCCCAGGTTAATTCATCTTTCCTCAAACCCTTTCCCTGTTGTTCAAATAAAACAAATTTCCACTGCCTTTCCTCCTCTTAATTTTTTAACTGACCAGATACCTGATTTCTGTAGTAAATACTTACAGTTTCAATCAAACTTGCACATATTTAAGCTACTGTTCATCCATTTGGATCCCTTCAAAAGGCTTGACCCATTTGGGCTTGACTGCTTCAGTGGGGTTGGACAGTCTGTGGTTCGAAAGGCATTTAAAAAAAAAAAACCAAAACCGACAAAACTTCCCATTATTTAATTGTAAAATACATCAGAACACTTCCATAGCTCTGTCCTCTTGAGATTTAACTCTAAAACAACTGTTAAAATTAGCTACAAATGCAAATTCATACACTGCTCTAGTGATTATGGATGTCAGTGAAGATCCTGGACCCCAAAGTAACTGTAGAGATAATGGTTTCTGGTGCTGAGAATGTTAATCTGTGAATTTAGATGCATCTGAAAGCTTTGAAGCAGGGAGGGTCTCCAAGGAAATAAAGCCATTCTAGAGCACTGGGGGTTTGTTGTTAGTTTTGAACTGGCTTTCTTTGTTTCTGTACAATAATGGCTAAAACTATTTTTCCACTGCTTATTTGCAAAGGAAGACTTACTGACAATACATAGAGTCCTGATTGCTGGAGGGATTTGCTAGTTCCCAGTTTTCTGGTAATCAGATTCTACCACACAGGATTTTAATTCTACAGTAGATCAAAAGCTTTCTTAACAATCACTTTGGCTATGTGCACTTTGACACAGTTCTAACAAAATCCAGTCTAACCAAAACAGGCAGACTATAATTCTGTGCAATCGTATCTACACACCATCTCTCAAAGGAAGTGATACCTTTGATATCTGCTTCTTAAAGTTTGGGGCCTTCTGGACTTGAGTGCTTAACTGTAAAATATAAAAATAATACAGGCCTAACAGTTGTGCATGGACAATTGTGTTCCTGTTTGTGAATATATAGATGTGTGTGTCTAGAAATAAAGAGATACTAGCTATCCATCCCAACACCTTCTATCCAAATTTTTGCTTTTTCCATAGTGAAATGGGATACTATCAAATGGCAGGTCCTGTTGCCCTTTCAAAACCACACAGGAGAGGTTCAGAGAAAAGGCAACTTACTTCTA